ACCTTACATCAAGTCGCCTGGGTTGCTAGCGACTCTCCCCACGTGTCGCCTTAACTTTCCATGTTGATGTAGCAGAGCTAGGTAGCACATCTCTACCAATTCATTCTTCTTTTTACCTACTCCTTTCTGTGCGTGTGCTCTGCTGCATCCACCTCGTCGAGTGCATCCACCTCAGGTAGAGCACGGGCGTAAGATATCCACGGCGCATGAACTGGGATGAACAAGGAATTGAGTGGTACCCTAGCGCACCTGTAGCGGTGGAGAAGCTTACTTGAGATCTGGATGTTCATGACATTAGTGTATGTGCTATTGCCTCTGAAAGAGCACGTCATCTCCTATATGCACGCATTTCAAACACAGTAAATGGAATACTAGTATTGCAATTCGTTATCCCAGCAAAAAGTCACGTGTCAATCGAAGTGTGGACGGATGGGCCATAATGAGATTGTGTGGTGCCGATATCGTCTATGGAACACAAAGCGTACTCAAGGTGATCGGGTGTCCATGGCAAAGATAATGACCTCGCCTCACCATGTGCTGGTAATGGCCTGGCATGTGCGTGTGCGCCACGGACACAACGCCGTCGGAAGGCCCAGACGTTTGTGACCACGGAAAATGGCGAGCGCCTGCGATGACCAGAGCCGAAGTTAGACGAGGCAGCTTCCCAAGCCGTATGTCCAAGTCAAAGTCGTGTAGGGTTTGCAGCTCCGTCCTGGCGACATTTGCCGTCAGACACCACCGCGGTTTTAAGGTCCTACAAGTGGTCGCACATTGAGAAACCAATTGCACAACGACATCGACCGGACCCTCGGTTGGGAGGGGCTACCATAACAAGTCTCGTTCGAACGTCGCGCCAGTCGATGGAACGCAGCGCTTCCTACAGCAAGGTCCACGGAGTCAGGCCAAGTTGACCAGAAGAGGGCTAAATTACGCGAAGCACGAGCGCGCCGTATCCGTGGGTGGTGATAAAACTGGGCTCCAGCCCTGAGATGGGTTTGATCGCGTGTAGAACCTCTAGCAAATCTATTCGACCATGCGACCGACTGTGAAAGCCATGTCCGTCTCATGTCTCTACGCAGGCGCATGGATCCATTCGATACGACGGGGTGCATTACCTTGCCCGGATTCTTGGAGTGTCTGGAGAGAGAAGCAAGTTAGGTCATTCGTGACTTGACCCCAATGTACCTGGCGATGGGCGTCATATCGAAATCGGAGTACGTTGAACGAGCCGCCCCAAGGCGACGATAGGAATACCTCGGCGGGCAGCATCTGGATGCCATGGCCCACCAAGTCCGGGATCGTCACCAGGATCGGCCGCGCCATCTGCATTGGCGTCGACAGCGAGCACATTGATCAATTGGAAATGGACCAATCACAGCAGTCATCGCCAACGACATAGGGCAAACGGCGTCTTTGTCGCATTTTTTGCGTTTAAACATGGAAGTGTTAGGTTGAAAGAGGTTTTTCACGTTTCAACCTGTTTTCGGTGACTGAAACGCGAGGCGTCGCTTCCTCAAACCATTGCTTTGCCCACACCATCGTAGCGGCAGGTAGTCCAGTCAAACTTGAGCGTGAGATATGTAGGATGTGGGTTGCAGAACACGGGTTAGTTTCAGTGTGATGGACTGAATGGGTGGCCATAGGTTGGCAAGTTCATCCGTCGGTGTTGGAGGACACATGCTGCATGTCGTGGTGTCGACGAATCGTTGTTGACGTTTTTCACTGCTTGAAGCCAAAACGCCCCACCGGGCTCTGCTGACAGGGTTACCCCAACGGGGCTCTACAACGTTTACGATCAGTTTATGTTGTGACGTAGTAAAAAGTACTCCGGGAGTATGGTGGACTAGTAATTGTAATGGGAGTTAAACTGGGTTAATGCAGAACCTGGTCGATGCGGGGACGTGTGCAATCACAACAAATACCGAGTGTGCCAAATAAACACAAGCATCCTGCGATGCGATCGCCCTCCACACAGCATGCTGCACGTGCGGTGCAAAAAACGAATGATGGTTATCGACATTGTTAGGGCTAGCATCGATGGTTAGCCGAAACCTTTGATTCATTTATGGATGCGTATTCTCACCGGCATCGTGAAGATAGATGCTCCAACTTTAACATGTGAATTAACTTGATGACATGTTCACAGGTTATGCATTTTGGGAGTGGTGATGATAACTCGCCTGGAAGTTCTTCTGTTGATCGAGTCGCCGCACCTTTTGGTCGACTATCTTCGACGATTGTCATGGGAGATCCGCTTCAGTCGACACAATCCATTGATAAAGTCTTCCACATACGCGGCAGGATCGTGTCGTTGAGGTGGCATTTCCGTTCTATCGCTGGCGGCCTCAACGCACGAACGTGTCGTAGAGTACTTCGTGCACAAATGACGGCTTTGCCTGGTTAACCGTGAAGAATCATGCCTTTTCCTGCGTCGAGACTAGCAGAGGCGAATCGCATTGTCCGAGGAGACATTTGGGCGGCAAAGTTGAATTTTCCAACTCCTCACTACATGAAATCCATCCTGTCCTTGCTTGGGAGAATGCGCTGGCTCTGAAATTGGCGACACACGACGATGCCCCTCCCCGAAGAAATCTGATCCATGTGTTCGCTGACTTCATTGCGGGTATATGCGCAAGTCGCGATGAAGTTAGTCTCATTGCCCCAGAGCATAGTTGTTCGGTATCCCAACCCGTTTGAACCAAAGTCAAATGATGTTATCGAATCGGGAGGGGTACCTGTTGGGTACAAACTTCGTGGTATGCATGGCACACAAGACACAGCCTCCACCGACCCAACCATCATAAATATTTCGTTCGACATGGCTGCTCCTACGACTTAGGCCGGTCGCGTTTGGTTTCGCAAATTGCGTGAAATCGATGCCGGAAGTACGCGAGTTCAAAATCCCCCACGAGCTGCTTTCTTGCGTACGTTTCGTCGAGGCTCGCCCATGCACCCACGAGCACCTACATCCTCAGTCATAAATGTCCATTGCCCCTCAACTTGCATGCTCTCGTGCGAACCATGAAAAGGGGGGCGTCCAAAAACTCGGGCACTTCATCTTGCCGAAGGACGTGCATGATGTCGTGGACAGCGCCCGAAAAGAACGACTTTTCCATGCCGTCGGCAGTCTTGACCATCGAATCGTGCAGCGCTTTTCCGAGGGGAAGCGGGGCCCGAGCAGTCGCCTGATTGATGTACTTGTCGACGATCTTCTTGGCGTTGCGCAGGACGATTTGTGACGATGGCAGCCGTCGAAACTCTTCGACCTACCATTACCATCGATATGTTTTAGCGTGACATGGACATTCAATACGCACCTCTTCGAGGAAAATGAGGTTCTCGACGGCGTGCTGCGAAGTCAGATACTTTTTGAAGTTGGACATGTACTTGGGATGGCCGAGGACGGAATCGAGGTGCGGCAATTCGAGTTTGCCCGAATTCCGGGCGGCAGTCATCTCACGGACAAGTTGTGGGATCTCGGCATCGTTATGAAGCTCTTCGTGGATCGGGGACGATAGATACCGGAGCAACGAATCTTGCAACAAGCCTACAGACCACAGACTGAATCGAGGCATGACGGACAGACACGAACGGGCAAACCTGTCTTGACCTTTACAATTGCGGGCTTGAACATGTCCATCGTGGGCATATCGAGCTTTTCTTCAATGTCTTGCCGCATCTTGGTGCTCATGTCGACCTGCAACCGCGCGTGGTCGCTGAGGTATTTCTTGAACAGCTTCTTGGCTGTGTGCTGCATGTATTCAATGCCGGGCAGGTTGGTGTACTCTTCGACCTATATCGTGGCCACCGTCTTGGCGTTGACCTGTCATTTTGCAAGCGCGTACGTCATCGATAAACGACACGAAGTGATCCTTTCCGCGAACTTTCAAAAACTTCTTGAACATGCGATGGCCAATCTTGTCCTGCAGCAGCACCAGTGCAGTGTCGTGGTGAATCGTGTGCGCTTTGGCGATGTTGGCCATTAAGTTGGTCGGGAGTTCCATCGCCTTTTGGATGAGTCTAGTCGAATCGGAGAACGGTTCAAAGTTGCAGTGCTGCATTGTCGATTGAAATAGGCAGGTTGCGTACATGGTCGAGCTCATGGCGTCCAAATTCGACAAAAGAGCGTCTATGTCGGACGCAGACACGGACGGCACGTACGACTCGAGCTCGTTGTCGGCCAAGGAGCTCTCCTGGATGTGTTGCACATATATGGACGAAGAGCTAGCGCAGTGTCGTGAGCTATCCATCGCTGGCTTTCCCGGTCATGCCATTGCCGGCCACTGACCTGAACCTTGGCCACACTTCCGTCTTGATACACTCCATGGCAACGTACTGAGCGTCGACAAACATGGCCGGGTCGATTTCGTTTCGGTCAAGGTTCTGAACGAGGCCGTCATGAATTTCCGGGCTCAGGTGAATGTGCATTTTCGCGCCGTCGCGGATGTATGTGTCGATGATCTTCTTGGACCTCGCCTGGACAAAGGACTGATTGGGAAGCCGCTTGGCATCTTCCACATCCAAGTGGAACATGAGGTTTTCCAGCGTCATGTTTTCGACGCAGTAACTTTTGAAGTATCGCAGCTTGATTTCGTTGGACAAGACGCTTTGGAACGATTCGCGCATAGCCCGTGAGCTAAGCAAGACCACGCAAGTGTCACGTTAGATCGTCAACTTGAGGGGCAGGGAGGCTATTCACATACTGAAGACGCGGGGCGTGCATCGCGGTGAGCGCCGCCTTCCACTTGGACAACGGCCTTTCTTCCAGAGCCTCGAGCATTTCGTTGTACAACCTGTGCTTTCGGAAGCGTGGAAACACGTCTTTTTCCAGGTCCCGGAGACAAAGCGCTTGGGCTTCTGCGTATACTCCTACATGTCACACAGCGTCTGCCACTCCGCATCCAGGATGGCGATCAAGATGGAAGTACCCGCGGTCTGGATGCCATTGGGGCTATTGAACTCGGCCCGGATCGACTTCAGCATCCCTGCTGGTACACAAATCGGGGTTTGCGCGTCGGGGCTCAGAAATTTGTCGTATATCTTGCGTAGGATCTTGTCCGTGTACTGGGACGACGGAAGCGACCGGAGGTGCTGCGCGTCGGCCCAAAACAGGAGCCGCTGCGGGGCATACGGGATGCTCTCAGCGAACTGCATCATGAGTTTGTGCGTGACGGGCTCGGCCAGAACGTCCACGGTGAACGCCAATGACAGGTTCGTGTGCAAGTCCATGCATATTGACTGGCGTCGATACTTTGTCGGGTTGGACAGGCTCGTGCGAAGTGCCTGTCAACCGTGTCAAGCGCGATCGAGCTCGTCATCGTCCTCGACGCATGCACGTACGGATTCCGTCGCAGCTCTGATGAGCCGCCGCTCGCCCATGGGCTGCGTGTATGAGATATCAACGAGGCCATTTCCAGTCGTGATGTGCCTCTTGTCCTTTGGCACTTGTGTGTCGGCTTGACGAGGTTCTGGCGGGGGTGGATCTTGGTTAGACGAAACTGGTGGACTCAGGAACGGCTGAACGCGGTCGGGGGGGACCGAGCCTGTGCTGGAGTGGGGTTTTTGCACTTCGTCGACCTCGTACGCCTTGCTGGTGGCCTAGGCACCATGCACGGTAAAAGGGGTCACTTCGTTGGGCGATGTGTCCTACCTTTTCATTTTTCCGATACCGATTCAGGCTCAGAGTTCGCTCGCTGTCCAAGTGGTGGGATGGTACAAAGTCCTAACGGCATGCACTCCATATGAGGAACGGGCTCTCAACGTGACCAGCATTACGTCAGAATGGACAGCGGCCAAGGAAGTTCGCGCTCGGCTGACGATCGCGCCCATGAAGTGGCCGCTCTGGATTGAACTCTCGCCGGCCCGTGGCGAAGTTAAAGATAGAAATGAAACCTTTGACGATAAATAACGCTTGAAATGAACACTACTTCTGGTAGGCAAGTTGGCGCTCGCGGTGGTGCTGGGCGCAGTACCCATCGCACTGGACCTTAGCAAGTCGGTTGCAGTAGCTCAGTGTGCACACTTTGCCGCGTCGGTGGACTTCGCAAAACCCGCCCCCGCGATCCGCTCGGACGCAGTCGGCGACCAGACAACGCGTCTTGCCCCCGTGCTGAGCGCACGTCGCGCCCCGCTGGGCTCCCCGTGGACACCCCTCGACGCTGCATCGCTTGCCTCCTCCATGTCGTCGGCAGAACCCGCCTCCTTGACTGCTCTTGTTGCACCCGTCAAACTTGCATCGCACCCCGCCGCCGTGGGCTTTACAAAGTCCTTGGGACTGGGTCGCTTTGTTGCAATCGGGGATCCGGCACCGCTTGCCGCCACCGTGACCGATGCACAAACTCCCGCCTTGAACGCCTTTAGTACAGTGCGGCACAGAACATCGCCGCGCGCCGCCGTGTCGTTTGCAGAAACCGCGATGTTTTACCGGCTCGTTGCATTGAGCTTCCAAGCATTGGCCTGGCACTTCAGGGATCACATGCGGCGACTGGTGGTGATGGTCATCGTCGAGGCCGTCGACGGTGTGAGTCGACGCGGCTGTGCTCGTGGTCGGCGACGGCGTCAAGTTCGGTGCTTCCAGTGCGACATTGCCAACAAAGTTCGGCATCGTCGTGTACTGTTGTCCATGCGAGTAGGTCGGGATCGTGACTGGGGCTACTGTGCTTGTGATCGGATTCAAGATATTGGAGAGCGACGGAAGGCGGCGTAGGTTGTGCGACGGTCCAGCAAACGAGCGCACGTGCGGCTGTTCTTGCGGCGGCGGATGGACCAGACCGCCGTCATGGGCGTACGTCGCGTACGATACATGCTGCAGAGGTACTGGAAAGAAAGGGTTGGCCGACGGGAGCCACGCATGCAGCGGCGGTAACACGTCCGACGACACGTGCTGACGAGGATGATGTGCGAGGGACATGGCTAAAGTTGAAATGGCTGCTGCGACAGCTGGGCCGCCCACGAATCGGGAAAAATGCGCCGTCCAGAGGGCACTGAGCATCCCACTTCTACTTCGTGCATGAGTTGGACAAGCGTGGGGTGGCCGTATTGCGTCCACAGCTGGCACCCTGCTCGGTCCTTCGTGGCTCACTTGCCACATGGTGCATGGCGCGCCTGCAGTCAAAATAGCTGATGCTTTGCAATCACAGTCGCGCGTGTGTGATTCATGCAAGATGAACCATGGAGGGCCGACAATGCGGCGGAGATAGTGGCCTAAAATGCACAGGAGCCTTTGTGCAGCGTATGGCTGTACAAAGGTACTTGGTCGGATGAGAGCGGATGGCGACGAAAGGTTCCCATCCTTCTGCCGTGTCACATCGCATCGTGTTCGGCCAAGCGACTCTTATAGAACGCCCCCACGGGGACACACGGGCGACTCCGCTGGATGAGCAGCGTTGTGAATGCCGCGGCGGCTGGAGGCCACGATATACATCATCACAGGTGTGTAACATGGTGGCCACACAAGCAAGGCCTGTCTTGGCAACTGCTGGCTCTAACACCTGGCTCTACCAGAGCCACCCACCACTGCGTCGCCGTTCAAACTACGAAGAGGGCATTGTCAAGTCAGCGCAACATGCAAGGGCCGTCGACACAATAGGGCGTTCAACTGCGTGGGATTCTTCCTCCCGGGCTGCTCGAACGCGCGCGCGACGGCGCTGGTCAAGTCGGTCAACGCGTCGGCAACCTGTTGAGCCGGAACGAAACACGACATTTCTCAGGTACGCATTTCCGAGGTTCGTGCAATCAAGGCCAGCGTAAGGTCCAATTCAGATGAAACGAAGTCGTTTGATTGGCTTGAATGCTTCGACAGATAAAACTAGTCCAAATTGTAGCCAATCGAATCCATTTTTTTCGTCATTTTGATTGAACAGCGAAACTTGTGGTTGGACGCGAACATCCCACCGCAACAAACGCGTCGGTGTCCCAGATGACAGCAATCGAGTTCGGGGAGCTCCCGCTGCGCCCGACCAACCCACGACGCTGTCTTGCGAGAGATTTGTACACGCTCCTGGATGTTAATGGTACGCAGATGTATGTTCTGCGTCACCGTCCCGGTGGGGGACAGTCGTTTCCACAATAGAGGGAATGCATGGGGATGGTCGCAACTTTCCGATCGCTGTCCACGAGAAGGAGACGCTGGATCCACCGAGGGCCGCCCCATATCTGTCTCTCCGCTCGTGATGTGGTGGGATTAGTGATGGATTTGCTAACAATTGCGTCGCCTTGTGACATCCTGTCCCCCTGTGGCAAGTTGTAGTGCCTCATACAGAGTGGGTTTTCGGTGAGAAACGCAGTCACGCCGCTGTCCGTGTCGTGTACATCCAGACAACGGCTTTGGTAAACGTGATCCATTCGTTCCCGATGGATGTTCCCGGCCGACATTGCGACGTCCTGCCCTCGCCGATTCATCGCCGAGACTTGCATACCTTCTCGTCCAAGACACAACGTCCGCATGCAGCTGCGACCTATAGAGATCGGTGGTGTGTAGATATGTGTCAGGAGTGCGCAAGGGAGATCGGAACTGCAGGGCTATTGTCGCACACATACGTAAGACCATCTCGTTCGCTTTGGGACAGGTGGGACGGAAGCCGAATAGAACCAGGAGCAGTCGGTTGACTGGCTGGCTGGGCAGGCCTGTGCGTGCAGAGCCAGGGTCGTCGGATTGTGTCCTGTCGACGAAACATGACAAACTCCACTGACTTCTCGGACGACCAGCCAGCTCCCGACGCAAACGAGCGCGCGCGGGGGTTGACCGCCTGTCGCCGTCACCGCTGTCCAGTACCTCGCCCTTTCGCGGCATCGCTTGCCAGAACATTTCGGCAAACTTGAATCGCACCCACCTCATCCTCCTCGATACTGCAGTGGCGTGATCCTCTACAGTACAAAGGTGCATGCTCGGTGGAGCTCGCCTCCGAGGGTCTGAACCAGAAATTCAACTCGTTGTGGCGATGGCGACAAGTTGCGGGTTGGGGTCACAGAACTGTGCCGCGGCGGGCGAGGTCAACCCCAACCTTTCGTCACTTCGGTCATCAACGAGTTTATACTTCACTAGCAATAACGAAGAACGATGCGACGAAGCCCCTCAGCGAGCCGCGAGTCGAACCACGTTGGCCTCCGGCCGACTCATCCCGGTCCGAGCAACCCCACGCCCAACAGGGCAAAAACACCAAAGAGAGCTCAGCAACGTCATCCGTCAAGTTAAATTACGACTTCATAAATGCACGCGATTGCGAAGTCTATGATGGCTTGGAGTGACGGATTCGGCGTCTCTATCGATGGCCCAAAAGCATGGTGATACAAAACTATAGCAACGCAAAGGAGAAGTCGATCAAGAATGCAATACTAACTAACATACAACACAAGGGCGGGCTTCCCGCGAGATCCTTGTAGCCAGCGCGATTAATGGTTTCCCGATGTCGTGCACCACGATGGAACTGAGTGCCGTATCGTTTGTATTCTGCCTTGGCCACGTGATTGCACTCATGTTTGCGGCACACTTTGCTGCTTTAGTGGATTTCACATAGCCCGCCCCCCCCCGTTGCGCCGCTCGCTGACTGCCCTTGATGTAGCCTCATGCCTGCACGATATCTGCCGGCAGAACTCACCAATTTACTGCTCTTGTTACTTCTGTCAGATTTGCTTGCCTCGCAGCCCCCGTGGGCTTTGTCAGCTTTGCGACTTCGTAATTCTGTTCAATCTGGCAAGCGGCACCAATTGACTCTACTGTGGCTAATCCAGACCTCATTACCCTGAACAACTTAGTGTAGTCTGCTACTGGTGTAGCGTTGTGCGGAGAGCCGGCGGTGGTGACAAGCCTCACGCTGCCAACAGAATTTTCTTCGACTCTTTCACTGTTGGTCGACGGCAACAA